TTATTAGAGATCAGGAAAGCTTCTAATAAAAAAATTGACCAACACAATTGGAAAAACACTAATTTAACCTGAAAAGTTACCATAATTTATTGACCTAACATGCATTGCTCTAATTACAGTAGCTTTTTTGTTAAATATGCATATGATGCGGTGGTTGATCATCCCCTTGAAAATCAAACACATCTTCAGGTTCTGAAAGATGGCCTGGATCACGCCTCAGTATGGTCGTTGGCAGATGGTCTTCTACTACTATTACTAGTCAAGTTTGCGAAATTACGTTCCCGATTGCGACCCCCTCATAGTCCTAAATTTGGAGACATGCTGTCCAACGAGGCATCCTCTTTGCGGTACCTAAGTGTTACTCTGACATAAAATCTTTCATTTTCCCTTCATATTGGTACTACATAAAACTAAAATTCGTAAATCCATTATTACATTCGTCGTTTACTTTCCTATTACGCACATCAAGCCCTAATCTTCCGATTTATAGATACCTCCATTCTCCCCCTCACAACCTACTGTTCTCCGGTTATGCTTCCGGCTTCGCTTAAAAAGGACTTGCTGATTTTTAAAGTTATCCTCCGAATGCTTTCATCAGCTGCTGGTGTTTTTTTGTGTTTTCTTAGTTTATACTCTAATATAATGACATTTTACAAAGGTCAAGCAATTAGCTGATCGAATTCTTGATGAAGTTGTCCATCCCCTCCACTCTGACCTAATGACTGCGAAGTTAACACACCTTGATGAACGTTCCCCGATCACTAACGTGACTCACTTGTCCCGTTCTGCCTTTGGCCTCATTTCTCGGGCCCTGACAGCAGCCGTAGCGGCTAGTAGTCTTAGGCAGCTAGTAAGCTAGAAAGGACAATTCCCGCCACCCTTGACTTTGCCCACAATACTGTCTGACTGCTAACTTCTTCCGTGTCATCCGCCGAGGTTTTCGACACATCTGTACGTTCTGTATTGCCATTTCTATCACGATACCTCGGGTAGAAAAGAGGCTGAAATACAGAAACTGAGATTAGACTTATCTCCATAATAGATATGAATTTTGTGTAAATCTTTACATTCATGTGTATTTTGCTAATTTATCCTCCAGTCTCAGTAAATGGAACCATTTTTCCGAAAACTTGAAATATTTCTTTCAAAATAAGGCATATGTCTCTCTAGTTATGCGAAGCAAGAATCATTAGGGCTGATCTGGACGCGCGTGCAATCGCAGTCAGTCAGCTGGTCGGAAAAAGCACGCAAGAAACATGAACCACCACGAACAAAGGCGGCAGGCGATGCAATTATAAATACATTAAGTCAGTTAAGGCATCCGAATCGAACGGTACGTGCTGAGAAAACTATGTCGTAAAGTGGAGATTTCAAAAACACAGCACTAGCCTGATCCAGGAGTTCAGCATTATAGTAAGGACGGCTTGTAAGGCCGCCTAAATAGGACGCGGGAATAGGAGAGCTCCGCGCACTTAGAACACATGGTCTTGCTATACGTTTTAGGAAGGGTAAATAGTACCCGTATCTTAACCCTAACACTAACGGGAAAGTGCAATGCAACCTTACTTTTAATCCTAGTCCTACCCTAAACCTGCCGTTGACTCAAACCTCACTCCTTAACATAATCCCGACGCTAAACCCAACTCTGTCTTTATCTCCAACCTTGCACTGCGATACATATCAGGAAAGGTTAACATTTCCGTGTCTTTATCCTAGCCCTCACCTTACCACGAAACTAAACTATAATCTTTATTCGTATAAACTGGAACAGGCGCATCCCAAGAAATTTAAATTTGAAGAAGACGTTCCTTTGGGATAAAATAACTTTAATGAGTGAATTTTCGAGGTTGGCACCCCAACTCGTCTTCGGACTAACAAGACTAACAAGAAAAGTGCAAGGAACAACTAAACTTTCAAAACCGCCGAAAAAATCAATAGTTGTAAACAGTGAGACATGATTGGCAGGTTTGGTCTCAGTTAGTTTCTGTCCTGCGGTCTCTGTATTTTCCATCGTTCTTTGATGTGTTTATAAATACCATCCAACTCGACGTGCCGGTTAATGCATGAATCGTCGGAGTGCATGGTTTCGAGGAAGTCTCGGCCATTTTTGGAGTGCCAAACTCCAACGATGCGTATTTTATCCCATGCAAAGGTGTGTCCTGTGTTGAGGTGATGCATGGCCACTTCGGAAAAACGATCACGTCTATTCACGGCCGATTGGTGTTTGCGGAC